AATACTACTCAGCCATAAAAACCGGCAATATAATGCCATTTGCAGCAACATGGATGCTCCTGGAGAATGTCATTCTAAGTGAAGTAAGCCAAAAAGAGAAAGAAAAATACCATATGAGTTCTCTCATATGTGGAATCTAAAAAAAAAGATACATAAATACAAAACAGAAACAGACTCATAGACATAGAATACAAACTTGTGGTTGCCAAGTGAGGGGGTAGAGTGGGAAGGGATAGACTGGGAGTTCAAAATTTGTAGATACTGACAGGCATATGTAGAATAGATAAACAAGATTATACTGTATAGCACAGGGAAATATATACAAGATCTTGTGGTAGCTCACAGAGAAAAAAAAATGTGACAATGAATATATGTATGTTTATGTAGAACTGAAAAATGGTGCTCTACACTGAAATTTGACACAACATTGTAAAATGAGTATAACTCAATAAAAAAAAGTTTGAAAAAAAAAAGTGTGGACTTTCAGGGCTTAGAAGAGTCTTTGGGAGCATCCAGCCCAACTTCCTTTCATGAGGATTCCCAACTGGGGCACCTCTAGGAATCACAGACTGGAATCACTCAGAGGCGCAGTTTCAAATTGTACTCCCCTCGGCGATTCAGATCGTCTCCTCCCTAGGTGCATGTGCCTGTGTGCGTGTGGTGGTGGGGGTAGGATACAGGTTGTGTTGGAGCAGACACGTGGCTGGAAACCATGGCCCTCTGCACACCCTGTCTTCCAGCCCCTGCCTGGATGCCTCTACTTAGCGGACTGCCTGCCACTCATGTTATCCCTTCGGTTGTTGGAGAGCTAGATTGTTAGAGGGGACACCTGCCTCCCAGAATTTATATCTTTGGTTCTGGTTGGAGCATGAGCTTTGGAGTCAGACAAACCTGGTTCTTACCTCCCTTCTGCCGTTGAAGGCATGTACATCCTTGTCAAGATACTGACTGTTTCTAAGAACCATCTTACCCATCTGTGAAATGGGGATAACAATGCCAGCTTCTCAGAGTTGTTGTAGGGCTTACAATGAGTGTAAAGAGCTTTCCTAAGGTCTGGCTTGTCAGCCAGGATCTGCCTTTTCCTCAGTGCCCTCAGGCTCCAGAGAGCCAGGTGACCTCCTCCTCGTCTGTGAGGCTGTGCTTCAGATATGTGAAATTAGCTGTCACATCCCCTCTGTTTCCTTCTAACAAATGAAAGCTTCAGTCCACTTTTATTAAACACACTGAACAAGTGGAGCAGGTGTGTGTGTGTCTGCTTGGGCTGCCATAACAAAGCACCACAGACCAGGGGGCTTAAACTTTTATTTTCTCACAATTCCACAGGCTAGAAGTCCAAGATCAGGGTGTCAGCAAGGTTGATGTCTTCCGAGACCTCTCTCCTTGGCTTGTAGACAACCATCTTCTCCCTGCGTCTCCACGTGATCTTCCCTCTGTACGTTTCTGGGGCCTAATTTCCTCTCCTTATGAGGACACCAGTCATGTTGGACTATGGCCCACCCTAACGACCTCACTGTAACTTCATTACCTCTTTAAAGACCTATCTCTAAATACAGTCACATTTTAAGGTCTAATGGTTAAGACTTTAACGTATGACTTTTGGGGTTGGGGAGGTGGTGGGGCATAATTCAGCCTGTAACAAGATGTCACAGAAAAACCCAGATGTTTAAGATAGTTGAGTTGAAGTGACAAGCTGGACACAATCCATTTTTGTTAGTTCTTTGTTGCCTTGCCCTGTGGTCCTGTCCCAAGGCCCAGCTGGATGGCAGCTGTGTGCCCTGGGCCTGGGCCCCTTGCCAGAGGAGCTCAGCCACGTGTGGGCAGCTCTGCCCTGTTGACTGGGCAGCCATGGACTGTATTTCTATCACTGACATTTTGAAATGTTTTATAGAGCTAATTCCTGCTTGTCAGCAGCCACATTTCTTCATCAGCTGCTCATTCATTTCTCTAAAGGCCCCTGACACTTCTGACTAGCTCCAGAGCACTGGGTGTGGCCTAGATAGCCATGTGCTCTTGCATCCAAGTGTTCTCACACCCTGGGACCGAGCCAGAATTCCCGACTCCTTCCATTATTCTTAGCCTTGAAATGGTGGGAGCAGGCATTTCAAAACCAGACTTCAGTTTTTTTGCAAACATATTTTGGCCTTCCTGCCTACCTATTTTTATTTCCTTCATATTTGGAAAGAGAAAATTCCCAGACATAGGCCTGGGAAGCAGGCTGTTCTCAGGTCAGCCGTCTCCTGCTTGTCCCCCTGCCTGTGCAGGGGGACACGGCGCTTCAGCGATCTGCACTGGGGCTTCCCCTCCTGGGAGCCAATGGCCACCCCCATCCAGGAAAGGAGGCTCCGTGCTCCTGCAGTCTGCCCCCATTTCAGACAAGTAGGGGCCCAGCGCTGTCGAGGCAGCTGCCCAGGTGGAGGGAATGTCTAGACCTGGGTCTTGTCCCACTGTTTCCGTTGGAATCACGCTCCCACGTCTCAGGCCCTGTGGACTTGCAGACTGGTAGCTGCCAGCATCATCCAGACTCTGCTTTAGGAAAGTGGGCCATGTTCAGCCCTGTCGGAGGTCCCTGCCTTTTTTCCACCTCACTGTGTGCCCACTGGCCCGGGCTCCTGGAGCAAAGACACAGTTCCTTCCCTCTCTCAGCCACATCACAGGGGCTGTGAACCCAGAGGAAGATGCCCTGCCCTCGTGTGTCTTGCCTGAATGCAAAGCCCGTGCCCTCTGCCTGGCGTTGGTGGTGCCTGGGTGACGTCATCTGTGGGTGGGGGCAGAGGGGTCTTGATCATTTTCACTGTACAGAGACAACTTTGGCAGCCACGGCTGTTTGACTGCAGACTGACCCCCAGCTGGGGGAGTTCCTGTAACCCCCATCCATCAGCAAGAGTGCTTGGGTGTGAATGAGAATGAAACAACCCAAAACATTTGTTTGGCTTTTACAAACATTTGTTTGAACTTTTTTGTTTTTCCCTCTCCTGCTGTGTCTTTTCTAGGGACAGGCAATGATGCTAACTTGTTTTATCTCCTTTGCAAGGGTGGTGTGTTTGAGAGCAAGTGTGCATTTATTTAATGAACCATAAGCATTAGTGTTCTTTTCAGGGAGAAAAAGTCACTAACATGTCCACCCAGCCCCACTCCAACCAAATTTAGTGGAAATGAGCACTTCGTCTGTCTTGATGGGAGGAGCAGAGGCCAACAGCAAGCCTGGGAGAGGGTGGAGGTCAGTGGTGGGGACTGCACCCTTCTAAAACTCTTTCAGGTACGTCTGGTGGGATAATAAGTTCCCCTGAAATCTTGGCAGACTAGGTCAAGGTGAAGGCTCTCAGGTGGGTGTTGCCTGGAGAATCCTGGGGTTGCAGAAAAAGTGTCTTCAGTGTCCCATGGGCCGTCTTGTGACCCCCTCTGAGTGGCTCCAGTGGGTTGAACTAGAATCAGTGGGCTGCCATTATGGTGTGGCCAATTTCAGCTCACTGGGAGGACTGACTTCCTCGTGTGGAGCTGTCCGCTGTCCTCGTGGGGAGCTGGGCAGTCATAGGCTGATTGACCGCTTGGCTGGGGTGAGGTGCAGGTGACCGATTGCTGGTCACACCTCTTCCTCTGAGCCTTCACCCCTCCCACGGAGATTTTATGTTTAGCCTGCAGCATAGCAGCTGGAGATCCTCCCTCCCTCCTTTCCTTCCGACTTTCCTTCCTCTTTGTTGTCCCCTTGGAGACAGGGCTCTCTGAGTCAGAGCTGCAGGCAGGCACAACTGCAAGGTAGCACTGGTCTGTGCTCTGTGTCTCCAGCTGCTTTCAGGGGTCCTCCCACCCTGCCCCCAGCCTGGGCCTCTGGTCATAGTCCTGCCCAGCAGCCTGGGGACCCTCTCTCCCCACGGCAGCGCTTTGGGGAGACCTTCTCCCGGGGCTCTTGTGGGGCCAGGGAGGCAGGCTAGGAGTGGGGAGAGGCAGATGGCACCGGCCTGCTGGGTTGGTCCAGCTCCCTCCAGGAAGCAGCTTGCTCAGCTGTAAGAGTCTAGGTCGGGATTCTCTGTCCCCTCAATCAGCACCTCCAAAAGCTGAGACGAGAGGAAGTTTCCCACTTGTACCACACGCAGCTTCAATTCAGCTCCGTGCTTCCTGCAGCTAAGTGATTACCTGGGGAACCAAAACTTCTTTTTCAGCCCACCTTTCCTTTTTGGTCTTGCCCCACTGCTCCACCTCGCATCTCCCCTACCCCTGCCCCTTGCTACCCCTCTCTAGGACAGAGGGGGTTCTGCCAACCAGGGGCTCAGGGGTCCCTGGGCTCCAGCAAGGCCGTGCCACACCTGGTGGGGATCTTCCTTGCAGTTTGGGTCTCATGCCCTTTCCAGAGCATGGTCAGGCGGCTGGAGCCCCAAGGAGTGTGTCTAAGGAAGAGATCAGTGTGTGGGTGCCATGCTCAGTAGAGGGAAATCCAGGGCTCTCTGCAATGGGAAATGAACCTGGAGTCACAGGCTCTGCCCCCTTCCCTCCATCTCCCCAGTTTGGCTGCAAAATCCCACACCCTGCGGTTCAGAACACAGTGGGCCTTTGGGAAATCCAGCACAGCCTGCTTCCAGGCCAAGTCCCATCAGCTCAGTAGGCTGAGCGAGGAGGGAGGAGCCCAGGCCCCAAAGGTTCTTCAGCCTCATTTCCTTGAGAGCTATAGTCTTGTCAGCCATGGTGCTGGGCAGAGCTGGCATAGAAGTTTCTGGAAGGACTGAGATAACCCGGAGAGGAATGGGGTGGCACAGGAACAGCAGGATCCAAGCTGACTCGGCCCCTTCACATCTCATGCAGCTCCCTCCTGTCACAGGCCAATGAGGGGCAGAGGGACGAGGCTGGGGACAGAAGTCCAAGCAGAGAAGAATGAACGTGTTCGGGTGGTCCCGGGCCCCTCACCACTAGGCGGCCTGAATGAATTGCTATGTGTTTCTCTTTTCTATTTGAGGGAACTGTTAAGATTTTTATACTGTCACAGATAAAAAGGCTCAGGCTGTATTTCACAATTTATGTAGTTGACTTCATGTGCACTTGCTAACATTTATATGTTTTAGGGGGCGGTCTGGGGAGCACTTCCTCTTACCTTCAGATGCAGCACTGATGGACATAAAGAAAGGCACTTAGGAGGTGGCATTTAGCTGAGGGGGTGAACTAACTTCTCTGATGGGCTTAGGGCTGACCTAGAGTTCAGACCTGGACCCTGGAGAAGCCGTGAAATAGAAGACAGGGTGTGAGAAGAGCGGAGGGAAGGCATGCTTCTCAGATGGGAAGAGACCTCAGTCATGCAAACCCGGAATGCTGCTGATGGGCATTCATGAGAAATGCCAGCCGTGGAAAGAAAGGACCCCTTCCCCTGAGTGAGACTAGAGGGATACTGAGGAGAGGCGTGCTGGGCAGTGGTTGCAGGTGCACAGACATGGGTGCAGACACAGAGGCAGAGAGGGCAGGGTAACAACAGTCATTTTTATGGAGACCCCTCCTGTGCCAGGGGCTTTGGATGGACGACTCTAGTCCTCATCTCTGCCCGCGGAGGATGCCTCACCACCCCCAATTTCTGACTAAGAAAACTGGCAGTATGACTCAGTGGTGAGTGGGAGCTGGGATCTGAGTCAGGCTTATTTGATTTTGAAGTTCTTGAGCATTTCATGCAGCTTCTAGGAGACTCCGAAGGCTTGAGTCCCATGCAGGGCTTCTCAGAAGTGAAAGAACCCAAGTCTCTCAGTTTAGAGATTAGGAACCTGGGGCCCAGAAAAGGGAGGAGGAATTTCCTGAAGCCGTCATGCTGGAGGATAAAAGAGAAGAAATCAGAACCTAGTTCTCTAGACTTGTGGTCTAGTGCAATGTCAGGATCCCAGTCTTAAAACAGGACGTTCCAGATCGCCACACCTGTTGTGTACTATTTTTGATGGTTATTATCTTTGACAGCTCTCCAGTGACATGAATAAACTCTACATGAATTTTGAAATTATTTTAGAATATATTTATACGTTATTCATAGCAGATTTGTACAGCCAAGTGAAACCTGGAGCAACAGCTGCTGCTTTTTTGGCCATGACCCCATATTTTACATTGTATCTCATTATACATATACGTATGTATATGTGTGTATACATTATACACACACACATTATATGTATAACTAAAACATATGTTTTCTGAAGTAATATTTATCCTTACTATGTGTGATATACTTTGATATTTTCTACTCTCATCCACTCTATTCTATTTTAGTAAAAATATGCTGGTTGTGAACTGTCTAAATCAATTTCACGACAAATGAATGGTTCACGACCCACAGTTTGAGACACCATGACCTAAACAATGTCTTAATCAGACATGGTTTGAGAAAAAAGTCATTACAGAGGCAATGTAAAGTTGCCAATTATCTTTGGTCATAAATGTGAAAATAGTAAGCTTTGAGTTTCACAGCATCAAAAAAGGAATTG